CCTGAGGGTAAGTCTCTCCCTATGTCTGTTCTCCTGGCACTGACAGACAGATACAGGGCTCTTCCCTGTAAGCACAGCTTTGTGTCCATTAATGTTCCTAGGCACAATAACATTTGGAAGGAGCAAGACACCCATATCTATGGAAACTTGTAGAATTTTGCTAGTGCAAGGGGCGCTGGGTGATCAAAATTCCTGCCTGTGGAAGGAAGCTCAGCTGTGTCAGCTGATGTGAGTGATGTAGGAAACAGAGTGAATTTTGTTCTGTAAGGAAGATAGGGAACTTTAGAAAGCTGTGTTCATCTCACAGCTACAGATCACTTCAACCTGCTCTTCCATTCATTCTCTTTAGAGTATGCAGTGCATTTCTTTTGTGGCTCTTGATTTCATGACTGTTGTGTTGTGCAGCTTGGGACCAAGGAAGTTTGCTGTAGCTGATGAGAACAGTCCTATGTTAGAACAAAGTATTGTGTTTACAAAGATTCCGAAGATGTATTTGCTTTCATACTTCCTGTACTGCTCTGCCAGCATCTGAGTAAATCCCTGATTTGGGTTTCCAGGGTTTCCTGGTTCATTTACCAGATCTGCTCTTTGTCTTTGGAAAGCTCTGTGAACTATTTGTAATCCTCTTTTCATTATTAGGCTGTGATGACCTGAGACACAAACTAGACAACACAAATTCCCAGAGCATGGATGCCTGCAGAAGTTTGGAGGGCTTTGTGGCTTACAGACTGCTCTATGACCTGTGGTGGAACCCACCCAAAGACCCTCCTGGCTTGCAAAAGGCTGTGTTGGATCCTGTGCTGTGCCCCAGTGAGCAGACAGCTCTTGAGAAGAGTTACCTTTCAGGTGACTCCTCCCCTGGAGAAACGGATCAAACTCCAGCTGAGATGGATGAAAACCTCTGCAATACAACTGAAGTGCAGAAGTGTGAGACGCAGAGTGACTCAGGAACTAACTTGGTCGATTTGGTAGACGGACAATCAAAACTGAAGGGTTGCAAAGTGCTCCTTTCAGAAGAGATGGCTGTGTTACAGAACACCCAGAGAGATATAGCGGAGGTCCAGGAGACTTTAGCAGAAATGATCCGCCAGCATCAGCAGCAGAGGAACAATCTCCAGGAAAACACAAATGGAAACACCCAGGAAAGCAACCTGGAGCAGAGTTCAGAGACTGAATTAGACAAACCATCCTCTGACAGCAACCAGATGAATGGGTAAGATTCAGCACATGAATCAGTGGATTGAAAAGTGTTGCTTTTTTCTGTGTGTTTGTGCAGCAAATTGCCTCTAATCTCCAGCTGAACACCCAGGGACACTTAAACATACAGTCAGAAATCTTGCATTTTCCTGGGGCCGAACCACCATATTCCTAAACTCAGTGCAGCTGAACAGCTTCGTGATACACGAAGTGTGTTGTTACAGTGAAAAAATAGGGCATCTTGAAAAGGGGAGGACAATGAAAAGGACAGGCATGGTCTAAGAGATCTGTTTCTTTGTTGAACAGTTGTTTGGGACTTTGGCAAGAAGGAGCTAGGACATAAAACACTTTTCCATTTATCTCCTGTGCTCTGTGTACAGGAGAGAGGGTATGCAGTAACTTAAGCAAAACAGTTACTGATGACACCTGTTTTTTTCTTGACAGCAAAGATGAAATAAAGCAACCAATTACACTCCCTGAGCTCACAAAGCAGCTTCTCAATGCAAAGCAGAAACTAGCGGAATTCCCAGACAGTTTAAAGGTAAGTTTTCAGAAGAGCCATTGTGGTTCTGAAAGGGCAACCTCATTACAGAATCCCTTCCATGGAGGGATTGTGATCCTATGGAATTTTGAGATACAGCTGACACGTGGCATCAGGGTGGTGTTTTTCTTTCAAGCATAACTTTTCCTGTGCAGTTGGAAAGCGTAGCTAAAGCTCCTGCATGGGACAATTCAATGGGATATCCTGTATGGATCCATCTCATGCATTTTAGAAGTAATTCCTTGCTACTTATGTATGAAAAAAAAAAATTGATAAACAGTAAAATCAGAAATTTAAGCTATAAAATGGCCTTTATAGATCAGGAACTGTAGAAACTACTCATCACGTTTGAAAACATGTAACCATGGTGATGATGCAAGAGGGGGCAAACGGGGTTAAACGTGAAGAGGAGACAATGCATCCTGACTATCTCTGTTTCAAGGGTTCTATAAAGCAGTGTTTTTAGAGAGCTGCCTACCTGAATATGTTGTTGAGCACTTGTAATTGACAGTCACCTCATGCTCCTTTTTTGCAGGTCTTGCCCTTCCCTGACGTGCTGGAGTGCTGCCTTGTACTCCTTCACCTTGGATCCCAGTGCCCTCCTGAGCTACAGGAACAGGCTCTGGATCTCCTTAGGAAACACAGCAGTGCTAATATTTACAAAAAAGCTGTCAGGAGGTTCTTGACATGACATTCTGTCTCCCTTCTTGAGCTGCCTACAGTTACTTAACACCAAGGCTCTTCTTTCTTCAAGTGAAGGCTTGTTTTGATGGCTGTGGCTGTTACTGAAACAAAAAGTCAGGTTTATATACAGACCCACTTGTGCTCATTCACTAACAATACTTAAGGACACTTAGAAAATTGAAAAGCAGGAGGGTGTGGGCTTGAACTGTTATACAGGATTTTTGTATAGTCTTTTTTTATTTGTTGGAAACTATGCTCATGAAAGCTCTTGCTATTTACACGTAAGAGAAGCAGTTTTGAGCAGCTGTACAGTCTCAGCAGAGGAAGAGTAGCTGCCCTCAGGAAAATCAATGGTTTCTGTAACCAAACTGACCCTTAAGCCAGTATTGTTCTTAGAAGCGTTGTGAGTTTATTTTTCCCTCCTTTAAATAAAGTCTTCTACCACCACGAATTGGTATTTAATTTGATGTATAGAAATCAGTATCAAGCAAGGGCAAATGCATTAAAAATACGTCTGGGTTGGGTTCTTTTTTGTTGTTAAATGTGTGCTATGGCTTAGCATTGTGTGGTGAAGCCACCTGTACAAGGTAAAAGGGGGCAAGATCTTTTGTTTCCAGCATGACTAGCAAGAGAGAAGGAATTTCCCCAGGTCAGGAAAAGTCCCTGCTTTTGAAAACATCCACAGCTGAACAAACTGCTTTTTGCTACAGTGGTGGTGAATTTGAGGTACAATCAAGCTCTCTAGAATGGTGCTATTCTAGAAGTGCCAAAGCCAATTGTGGATTCTGCAGTCTTGAACATGTAATATTTTGACCAGTTTCACAGCTTACCTGTAGGCTTTGTCTGTCTGGTTAGAAAAAGTAACTCTTCCTAAGAAAAGCACAAGGCTGTATGAGCCTTAGTGAACATAGCAGCTGTTTTAGTCACTTCTAGAAGCAATGTTTTAAATGCAGCAGAAAGGTTGATATGGGTGGGAGGGGAGCGTGTACCATGAATTTAGAAAATTTGTAAGTACACTAAAGATTTAAGTGATATGGACTTTTTAGATCAAAGGGTGTTCCAAATTCTTCCAGCCAAAATGCAAACTTAATCCTGATAGACTTCCTGCTTCAAGCTAAATAAAGCCTCAGAACAACTTCAAGAGCAGCAGGTGAAAGCCAGGGGTTAGACTAAAACAAGATCTTTCTGTAGATGTGTTAATCACTAAACTGTTGCCACCTACTCGAACTCGCTAAATTCTGTACAAAGTACTCGAAAACCACGTGGGGGAGCCAGTGCTTAACCAAACTGCCTTCTGCACTTACAGCGGGAACCACTAAAGTGCCACACACAACAATTTTTCCCTTTAAGTGGCCACTCTGCACTGTGAGAATACTCCACCTTCCTGTGACTGTGCTGAGATGAGCAGGAAGAGAATACAAATCCCCCAGAGATCTTCAGCTCAGCTTTCATCAGCTATTGTACAATAAGCTCAAAAGCAGATTTTACAAAGAACTATCCCAGCTGCACATCATAAATAGTAAAGGAAACAAACTTGAGCATCTTTTAGCATGTATCGCCCAAATTCAGATTCCAGAGCCTCAACTTTGGAAATTCTAGTGCTTGATAGAAAATCCAAAACAAAGCCTGGTTTAAAAAAATTTATTTTACAAAAAATAAAACCTAGTATTTACAAGCATTTTAAATACCAGCTCTAAACCTCAACTCATAACAATGGATTAAGACTTTTTAAAATACCAAAGTCTTTTGAACTTTAGGTTTGACATGTCCAAAAGGGATTTTTTTTTTTTTAAGAAATGTCATTACAGAGCTGTTGGAAAAAAAAGTACTGCAGAATAGCTCATTTTTTTCAAAGTCAGAATCCCAAGTTCTTCCATCCTCTAACTACTTTTCAGGTGTATATAATGAAAAGAACCAGTTGTTTTATCTGTTAAGCAAACTGTAAAATTAGGGGCTGGAGAAGCAGGGGAGAGAAGAGGAACAAATACTTATCCATCTGCTGAACTAGCTGTGTTGCAAGGAAAAGAATAAAATTTGTAGGTTGAGTTGAAGAAAACTGAAGTCAGAGTATTGGTCCAATCCCCTGTCAAAGGTAAACTTTTGGGCCTCTGAATCTATTTCCAGAACAGTTCCTTAATACCCGTAAGAACAAAGCTGAGGCTCAGTATGGGTCAAACCTGTAACATACAGAATTAGAAACTAAGGAGTTCTGATCAAATCAGCTCCATTAATATCCACTCCCATGGCTGTTAAAGCAAATCTCCAAATATTTTTAGCTGCAAGGATCATTTTTAATGTCATCCACTCCCAAACTTCTGCAGTGATCAAAGGGAGCAATTTTCGCAGACTACACAAAGATAAAATTAGCAAAACATGAGGTGAAGCTGTCACCCTCACACCATGCAGACGTTTTAAAATAAGCTTTATAAAGCACAAATTGCAAATCTGTGTGCATGTCTGTGTCCATTGTCACTGGATTTCCAGACCCTTAGCTCTACTGAGTAGCTACCATTAAATCTTCCTTGCAGATTCTGTACAGTATAAAGAGGAAAAAATAAACAGAGGTATACACAGTAGATTCTGTCCTTTGGCCTTGGTATTAAAAATATGGCAAACCACAAATGCTGGTATTAGGAATTCAGTCAACTCTTCTGGGTTTCAAATGAAGAAGCAGCTCTTCAGCAACACTGCAGGCCTTGCTCAGCCTGTGGACTGGAGAGGCCTTTTGTTTGAGACACTATTAGGGAAAAAGGTTGAGGACAGCAGCTGCCAATGTGGTAAACATGTTCTGCTGGGGGGCACCGCTCATCACGGCTGCATGTTGTTGATAATGGTCAAAATGCTCATTTTCTCTTGGGCTGAGTCCACATCTTCATTTTGTTTCTGAGCCACCCCCGTGCCAAGGCCATACAGTCGCCCACAATACTTTGCATCGTCAATTGTATCCTCAAAAAACAACTGCAGATTTAAAAAAAAAAAAAAAAAAACAGGGAAGAGAAACAGGTATTGTTTAATTGTGCCTCTAAATCAGAAAGCATCCAATGCTAATTAAACAGCTCATTTGAAATCGGCCACCCCTAAGATGCAGCGTGCAAATTAAAATAAGCACATGAAAGAGGAGTAAACAGAACAAGTCTGTGCCAATATCAACAACTCCTATTACTGACAGTTTGAAGTGTGATGGCCACAAGGCTCAAAAAAATCCAAAACAAAACAAAGAACACACTGTACATGTTGACATTTATGGGTAGGAACGGGAGAAAGGAGGACACTGCAGTACCTCTTTCATTCTGAAGAACGCCATTCCTGTGAGAAGAGAGTCTGATCCTGCCTGGTGTTGTCGTCCAATTCGCTGCAAATCCAGCTGATCTGCCACTTCCTGAAGGCCACCCTGCAAATAAAACAGAACAGGTTTTATTTTAGAAGATCTATCTCTTGCCAAAATTGCCACACTTCTCCAAAACATGAGGACAAACACTGAATATGATAAATCGATGCAGATTCCAGCAGTACACACACACCAGCTGTGAGTGAAACACAGTGGCAAATACTGTTCAAGAGTGCATAAATAACTCTTCTCAAATTTAGGTGCCTTCCTTTTCCTGCTGCAGATACTTGAGATGACTGTGGGTACATTCATAGGTTACACATGCTGGACCTTTCCCTCCCTTTACTCAAACAAGGCTGTGATTCAGTAGATAGATTACTTTCAACCCTCTGAGTGTCTACTAATTGATTAACTAATGAAGTCATGGAGTGGTTCACGTAAAAGAAACAGCCCTGCATAGGAAATATGCTGAATTATAATTAGCCTCTGATACACAAACCGGAAGGGAATTCCCCATTATGGGAATGTCCCCTTTATAATAAACATACTGATAAGTCCCATGTGGAGAGGGCAGCATCCATTAGACACAAACTGTGTCATAGCTGCTTCTGTGTCACCACTGGCTTTTACACAAGTTCCAGTTTTAAGACAACATAAGTAGCAGTTCTGTCACTTGGCTTCCTGTACATTTACAGTGTTGATGCCCATCACTTGCTTGCTGGGGAGAGACAAGTTACCTTGAGGTTTTTGCAGCTTTTCATTAAGTACTTCACATCATAGATAGATGGGAAGAAAAGGTTCAAGATATGGAAAAATTCATGTTCCTCTTCCGGTAACTTGGAATCTGTCAACAACTTCACCATGTAGCCAAAATCATAACCACTGAAAAAAAAGCCATACAGAAACCAGATAAGCAGGCAGCACCTGTAACTCAGTCAGTAGCAATATCTCATTTTTCAACAGAATTTTACTTGCTGTACCTTTCAAGCCTTAACATATTCTGACACTCACAAAAGATCTCTGGATCAGAGCCAGAACTCATCCTGATTTTCATGCCAATGTAGGACTTTGGAATCCTCCTTGAGTGACTCCACTAACCCCTTGTGAAACAGCTAAGCCATTGGGAAGAACATACATTTCTTCCCAACACTGTACATTTCTGTAGCTATGGGCAATACAGAAAAGCAGGAAACCCTGGAAGTGTCTGTTGAGAGAGGAGGAGGTGATGGCAGGTCCTTTCACTTGTGATGGCATCAGACACCACAGGCTTTGCAATCAAGTTGGTTGAAAGGCTACAGGAAACACATCTTAACCACACAGATTTCTTGCTCTATGTAAACACAAGATGGAAGTTCAGAGCACCACCAACAGTATGGTAAGGAAAAAGAAACAAAATCCTTACTTCACAATGCATTTACTAAAGTGTAATCATATTTTAAATTGTTACTAACTTCTTGCATTGAAGGAGACTGTAACAGCAAAAGGATTTGCAAGCAACACATACACAAAATTCAGACCATGAAGTGTCACATGTCCTTACTTCTTAAGCTTGGCCTTCATATCTTATTTTAAAAACTGCAGGACTGCTAATTTTATTCCTTAAAATCTGTGTCAGTCTCCATGGAAAAAAGCAGAGAATCAAGAAAAGATCTGACAGGGTCAGTGACCATCTCAGACCCACCTGTGGAAGGAGAGCCATTTCACACTGTCACTTAGGACAACCCCAGATGTCATCAGCAACTCAGCAAAATGCAGGGTGTCAATCCCTTCTTCTTCGTGCTTCTGGAATTGCAGCCCAGAGCTGGCAAGGAGGTCTATGGAATCCTGAGAGTACATGTCCTCCCTGAAGAAAAAAAACAGGTTTGCACTTACGGTGCTGCCAAGATAAGTTCATTTTAGAAAAATTGTCCCCACACAGTATTTCAAGAATTGGACTGACCATTAAGAGACCTCTGGGTTCCACATTCGTCTCTCTAGAAAATTCAAACTGACTCAGTTTTAATATCATTACCACAGCCTCCTACATCTGTAACAACCTGTTCTGTGATCGTAACTAGTTAATAACTCTGTTGGCTAGTGCAAATTCCAAAGATTCCAACTCCACAGAAATAAAACTGAGTTTTGAAAAATGCCACTTCTGCAAGGCAAAGGGAAGCACCACAGAGAAAAGGGGAGTTCACTCAAAGAGGAAGATGTGCAACTCTAAAGCACTGAGCATCATTCCTGTCTACATTTTTCCTTTTCACTTCACAGCATGTACCACTTTATCATCACCTCCACTTCCATCTCTGGGAGTAAACAAAATTGCATCACCCTTGACTCAGGAAGGAGGACGGGGATGAGTGATGATGTGCTTGGTAGAGAGCTGAGCAGGAACCTGAGTTCTTTACTGCTTTGCTTCATTTGAGGGGGAGGAAAGGACATGACAACACACAGATCAAAGTTCCTATCAATATGATTACTCAGTCAAATGAAGTGATCACACTATGAAAACCCCTTCACTCTGATTCAATACTTCTAAGAGGCTCACAGATTTGTGGAGTAAATAGTACAACTTTTGGGTTCAAGAACTGTGTGCCCTGCACAAAGTAACTACTGCTTTCCAATGATAGCTTCATAAAAATACTAATTGATTTCCTATAAGTGTGTGGTTTTGTCAGATAAACCTTTCTTTATTTCCAGGCAGCTCTAGTGGTAATTATGCTGAGTTTGTCTTTATAATTACAGGGGAAGGAATAATGAAACTTGTTTCAGCTGCAACCCAGGATATTGCAGGATGGAGGAGACAAGAACTGCCACGCTCCACTTAACAATATTCATTCTCCTGAACAGGTGTGATGATTACACCAACATGTTTTTAGATCCCAGTTTATATTTTAGCATGGATCTGTAAGGAGGTCTTTTCCTTTACGATGAAAACAGCACATCCATTTATTTTTAGCAGAAAGACATGGATTTTTATATACATATATATATCTACATAAAATACACGAAGTTTCAGACTATAACATTGTTCCAGAATAAGACACATAAAATTATCAAGAGAAAGGATATTAAGGATTTTAGCACAGTTTTGACTTCGAGAAACATTATTAACTCCTGGCACTCCAAAAGAGGTTCCCACATATTCTCCATTAGAATCTGAATTTTTATTGCTGGGAATCAGCCAGTGATGATGAGCACACGGACACCAGCATTTGCCAAAGGAAAACATCTCCAAAGCAGAAGAGAACAGGAAATTATTCCCCGGCTCAAAAGACTCACGTGAGGTTGAATTTGAAGTTAAACTGCCAGGTGTTGATGCCAGAAGGATATTCCCCCTTCTCATTTGTGAAAGTTAGGCCCAGCTGGATAATTTTCAGCAGGTCGACGTTACACCGCAGGAGCTGGTACTGGTAGTCTGTGGAACTGCGGAATTCCCCGATCAGCCTGACAACAACTCCAGGAAACTCTGTGTCCTAGGACAGAAGGGAAAATTTTGTTTCACCATGTTCTCTGTTAGAAGTCACTATTATCCCTCTATTGGAAGTTTATTTGGTTCCACACCTGCAGGTCTCAGCACTGTATTCTGTGAATTATTCTGTTAAAATCAGCGTTTTTTCCCCTCCTTTTCCACATTCATACAGCTTTTAAACTGCTACAAGTCAGACATTAAAAAACTCCACACAATTAATAAACTATTGCATTAATTTACTACACATATGCCTTCTTACAGTTTTGTTTTATTCCAAATCAAAAACGTTGCAAAGCCCTCCAACATGCATTATTGTATAATCTAAACATCTCTCCCTTGCAATAGACTCCCTCATTTTCCCTAAATCTACTACAATGAAATAGGTTTTATTTATTCAGCATTCTTTCACGTTCTAAATACAAGTTAGATTTGGCACTCTGACCATCTTCACTTGATAGCCCAGACAGTGAAACCTTCACTGTTTCTAAGGAACAGCCAATGCCTACATTAACAAAAATAACTGTCAACCAAAACAGACTTCAATAACAGCAACCATCTATTAGACAAAAAACCATCTATTTGATGAAAAACATTTTACTTGGCCAGAGACTGTGTGCTACCTTTGCTGAAACCCAAACTGCCACACTATTTTTACCCTCAGATTAGGTCAGGTAGCTTCTACTGACTATATGCAAAATCTTCCACAACAAACCCAGTGCTGGTGCATCTGACAGAGTCTCTCCCTTGCCCAAGATGTTTTTGTGTCCACTCTGACAGCACAGACACTAAAACAGGCCCTGAGCACACTTTCAGTGGGATGAAAAAGATGCAAAAAAGTTCATTTCCCACTGACATATGACAACAAGAAATCATATTCCCATCCACAACTGCATTTGACACAGAAATCCTGCACACACTGCAGGGGCACCTGTCTTTGTGCCAGACTTTTATTAAGGACTTTTCCTATCCTGAGGTTTAGTATTCCTAAGCAAAGTTGGCAGAACTTGCAGTATCAAAACTAAAACCAGTTCTTTATGTAACTCACTGGGTGCTGCAAAGCAGATACAGACTTGTAAGAGCAGGAGGAGATTCCTCCCACCCGGGGGAGATTCTGGTCTTCTTAAACAAAGCTTTCTGAACACATTGTCTTATCTACAGCCAGAATATTTTTCTTCCCTAAGAATCAACATCTGCCCTCATTAAAAGGGAGCTGGAGGCAGCCCAGCTGACTGGATGTCAGGCCTTTTGACCTACAGTCCCATGGCATCTTCCACAGCCAAACAGAGAAAGACATCCAAAGGACAAATACACCAGTGGAAAAATAGAAATTTAAACACAATTTTGACCTGTTCCATTTTTGTATTGTACAAACTAAAACACCATGAATAGCTAAATGTTAAATTAATTTATCTTTTTAAGTGGGTCTCCATCTTGCCCTTTTTTCACTCAATCCATGCTCAACACTGCTTGTATTAAATTCTGGAAAGTTACTCAACATCTTTTTAATTTTTCACCTCTTCTATCGCAGCTTGACTGGGGGTAGGGAGAAATCATTTCTCACTCAAGAATCAACTTACTCCCTCTACCCAAAAAAATCCCTTGACTAAGGCAATTGGGTCAAGTATAAAACATTTACCATGGCAATGTAGCTGTAACTCAGAACGATCTCCCGAATTTTCCTCATCTCTTCCTCCAGGTTGTTGGCCCATACTTCACAGATAACCTGGCTGTTCTCTGCAAGAGCTGCTGGCATCTTGCAGCAGAGGAAAGGCAGCTGATGCTGAACTCAGACAACAGTGCAGAATCACAAGCTGTGCAATCTTATCAGTGAGCTGCATTAAAGAGACATAAATAATGCTTTAAATGAAGAAAGAGTCACATGAGGATAAATGTTCTGTAGCAGTCAGTCACACTTCCATTTCCAGCTTCAAACAACCCATTTAAAGTTTACATCAAGTTTCTTCTTGCTTTTATCACTTTCTGTAAATGTGCTGATTGAAATCTAGAGCACCTGTTCAGAGCGGATGCACAATTAACAGTACAGTTATTCATGCAAAGAATCATTATCCCATCTTTCTCCTTCTCCTGGCATAAGCTCTGAAACGTTGGGCACACGATGTACAGCAGGGAATCCTCATGTTTAACCCTCAGCTACTGCCCCAGCCCTGGAAGTGTTCAGGGCCATGCTGGATGGAGCTCTGAGTAACCTGGTCCAGTGGAAGGTGTCCCTGCCCAGGGCAGGGGGTGGAATGGGATGATCTTTAAGTTCCCTTTGAACCCAAATCATTCTGTGATTCTGTGATGAAGAGCTTTTAAACACAGTAACAGAATGTGTTAGAGAGAACACTCACCAACATAAGTGTCAATGTGCATGAATGTCTGACGGGGGATATGTCAAGAGGCTGGAGCCAGGATCTGCTCAGTGGTGCCCAACAACACAAGAGACAACAGGCACAAACTTATGCACAGGAAGCTCCACCTGAACTGTGGAAGAACTTCTTTCCTGTGCAGTGACCGAGCACTGGAACAGACTGCCCAGAGAGGCTGTGGAGTCTCTCTCCCTGGGGATATTCCAGAACCGTCCGGACGCAATCCTGTGCAATGTGCCCTAGGATGGCCCTGCTGGAGCAGGGACGTTGGACCAGCTGACCCGCAGTGTTCCCTTCCAACCCGACCCACTCCGGGATGCTGTGATTCCCTGATGTAACTCAGGACAGGCTGCAGGGGGGTATCTCAGCTTCAACATTCCAGCTGACACCGGCAGCGTCAGCAGCGCTACCCCGGGACAGCTCCCGGGCTGGAACACAGACCCTGCTCAGGAGTCCCGCCCAGCCCCCGGCCGGGCCCTGAGGCACGAGTCACCGGGAGGCACCGAGCACAGCCTCACAGCCCAGGGGTCCCCTCAGGGCCCCCCTCCCTCAGAGCACCGGGGCCGCCCGGACGCGGCTCACGGCGTGGGGGAAGCGGGCGGGCCGCTGTCCCCGGCGGCCCCTCAGCCCAGCCCAGCCCCGCAGCCCAGCCCCGCTCCCCGGTGCCTGTGCCACAGGGCCCGCCCCATTCCCGCAGCCCCGGCGGTACCTGCAGCCCGGGGCAGCCCCGGCCGGCACGCGCCGCTCCGTCCCCGCGCAGCCGCGATGGCTCCGAGTCCCCCCCGCCGCGGGGGGCGGCGCTTCCGGGTCTCGCGGCTCTTGCTCTCGCGCGAGGTGGCGAACCCGGCGGCGCGCGCGGCGGGCCGGGGCGGGGCTGGGGGAGAGAGGAAACGTTACGGCGCGCGGCCGCGCCGCCCGCACTGCGCATGCGCAGAGCGCTGGGAGAGCAGTGTTTCTCTTCCCCGTCCCCCCCCTGCGGTGCCGGGAATGGGCTCAACCGGGCTCTCAGCGCTGCGCGCGGCGGGCGCGTCCAAAGCCCCCGGGCGGGGGGAGGGGAGGGATGAAGGGTGAGGGAGCCGGGAGCCTCCGCCCGGCGGGACCGGATGGGCTCCCAGCATGGGGAGCCCCAGCGCCCCGACCCCTCGGGATACGGGCTGCGCCGGGCCTTGGCTGAGCGTCCCCGGAAGGATCAGCGGCCGCCCCTCCCTCACCACAGGGGAGGTGAGGGGGTCCCCGGGTCGGGGCCAGGCCCGAGGGCGCGCAGGGTGGCGGAGCGGGATAAGGGTTCATTTTCCAAGGCCCAGAGTGCAAACCACCGCTGTCCCGGCACGTGTCGCCCCTACGGTGCAGTGCGTGTCGAGCTCATTAGTTGAGGAAATTCTGCTGCTTCCTGCAGGAGCGTAGAAGTCTTACAAGTCCCTGCTACACCTGCAGACTTTTAGCCTGGCTTCTGCTGTTCCGGGAATGGAATTTCAATTAAGTTAGCAACAGAAGGTTCTACCTGGTGAAGCAGCATAAGCGAACTGCTTGTGGAACGCGGCCGCCAACACTGTTTTGCGGGCTGATGCTGATGGCAGAGAGGCAATTTACTTGGAAGCTTGTCTACTAATTAAGCTTGGATAGTATTTCCTTTAGACTGCCTGCCTTCTGGACAGGGTTGCATCTGTTATAAAATACATATGTGTGTGTGTGTATATATATATATTTACATGCATTCTAGTACTGTGTTATCTGCCCACCATTTGGGAGTCTTTCTTCTCACTGAGTCTCAGCTACTTGCCCACCCATTTCGATCAAAGTATCTGGAAAACCGATTCATGGGGTCTTTCCCACTTCATAGTTCAGTGTCTCAGTTTTAATGTTCGTGCCTCAGCAGAAATGTAACATTTAGAAGAGGGTTTTTGAGTGCTGCTCTCTGTCAAGTGACCTTGTTGCTGTCAACATCTTATGACATGCCATTATTTCATGTTATTTTGAGTCGAAGTTTATCTTCATAGATGATAGTTACCATTTTGCCTTAGCTTTGCAGTCTCTGGCATTGAGTATCTTATCTATTATGCAATATGCTACATGGGCAGAAAGTAATCACCTTTCTGCCCGTGGTCACTTGAGTTTGGGATTTCATGCTAGAAAACATGTTGTTAGCAGGTGAATTCACCAGGTTGGATTACAGCACTCTGTGCATAGATCTTTTTTTTTATTTCTAAAGAGTTCAGAGTTAAATACACATACATATTTTTCTTGCTCACAGACCCAGCACTCGAAGGTATGTTGAATCCAGGGGGAAAGGGAGGATGCATCTTCTCAGGACACTGTAAATATTTGTGCCTTGGTACTCTCACAAAAATGTGTTGCAGGCAATAATCGCCTGTGATAAATTACACTTGTAGTGTTTAAAAATTCCCATGTAAAAAAAGGCTGTTGAAGGATGTTTGCAAGCACTGGTGGGGAGTGCTGGTGACATATTTTGCTGATGGAGATCAGAATTTGTTTTTCCAAGCATGGCTGATTTTGATCATAGCTAATAAAGACGAAGAATAGCTGGAAAAGGCACCTTCCTCTTTAAAAAAGTCTCATGGTCTTTGTACTTGGAAGTAACCATGCTCCAGGTCCAGAAGTCCAAGGAGTCCTCACACCCTCTGGTTCTGTTAAGAGCAGAGTACAAAAAACAGTTTGTGTGTGTAGAGCTACATTATAAAGTGGAATAAAGGGCTTTAGCTCAACATCTTCGTGTGGGGCAGCTGGAGCTGCATGTCCTGGATCATGACCTGTAGAAACAGTTGTTCCTTTCTTGTAGAGCTCAGTCACAGCACCACAAATGAGGAAATAACTTACTTACGGAAATCCTAAAATTTTACATTTTTCTAACCCTTCTGTGGTTCCACAGATGCTTCCAAAGCCACCACTGCAGTAGTAGGTGGTGGCCACGTGTGCCCTAGGAGATGGTTAGAAATCTGGTTCAGAACACAGGGAATTAGGGAGTAGGTGAGGCATGCCAAGGTCAGATTCCTCTTCAGTGTTAGAGGAACTATCAGAGTGGGCTCGTACAAGCCTGAAATGTACTTCAGAGATTTTTCCTGATACTCTTTTCAAACAACTGAAACAACCAGTGACTATTAAAAAAACTGTGGAGAGTGATCAAAGGTATTAAGTCTCTAATCAAAAGGCTTTTCTGCTGAGAAGAAATCAGACTTCTTGCATTCCTCAGCAAAGATTGCACCAGCCTTGGAGTGTCTGTGGTGGAGACACCAGTGCAGGGCACAGGGCAGCCAGCAGAGAAGCAGCTGATTAGTGACAACATGTGCTAGACACAAGTTACAGCAGAAGATAAATGACATTTACATCCCTATGATGTAATGTCATGAGCTGTCACATCCCTGATGTGCTGAGCTGTCTGTTCCTATGGGTATGAATATTTCAGAGATCACCCATGTTGGAATTGAGCAGTGGTTACAAAGGAACACCGAGGTCTTTGAAATTCGCTGTTTTATCAGCTGCTTTTGGCTGTTGGATGGACAATCCTCCCACTGCAATCTCAAGTCCAAACAAAGATGGGCTCAGGACATCATCCATGTGGCATCCCCCTCTTGAAATGCCCATTTCCACTTCCTCCTCTGCATGTGAGTACATAGTTTGAAGGAATCACATTCCTCCCTGTTGAGTCTGCTGTCTTTGATAAATAACAATTAGTAGCAGTAGCTAAGAATTACAAATTCCTACTATGGAGCAGTTGGAATTAGTCAAGAGAAAGTGTCAACAGCAACAGTAACGCTGTTAAATTCTAGTCACGCTTGCAGCCCTCCGCAGCTCCGGCTCTACTGGGGTGAGAGGTTGCTTCACCTGAGAGTGGCCATACAAGGCTAACTGTGAGGGAGAGGTGATATTCCTTGTTTTTCCTCATGTGAAAAAATAAGTCTGGAAAGTTATGATAATAACACTCAGTTCTCAGAGCTTAGTTTGTAATAAGTCACTATATATTGGGTAAGTAACAGATTGGGGCCACATTTGCATAATAAAGACCAATACTACTGTAAATTACATCTTGCTCTCTGCAATAGCATAATTACAGACTTTATGGTCTGTAAACATCATATTCAAAGACAACTAAGCCCAAGCACGTGCTAACCTATATGCATCTTCTTCCTCATGGAACCACTGCCTGTGACTGGTTGAGGACACTGTGTAACAACAGCGTTGGTATAATTTATAGACCTAGTACAGCAGAATGAAAACTGGACTGCTGGTTTTTTGCCAGATTGCACAGTAACCCTTATTGCTTTTAACAAATACACCTTTGACCCATTCAGTTGTACTCACTCTAGCTATTTTGTGCTCAAAACATGAGTTGCTGAATTATAAAAACTACTTATCCTTAGGGCGTTGGTGGCTCTTTTATTCTCAGGTACTGTGATGAACTCTTGATGAAAAATTCTTACCTGCAGAGATGTATTGCACATGCTTAACTGAGTAACAGCACATAGGCACGGGGAACACTGCCAGCACTAACAGTGAGTGACATGGCACTGGCTTCACATGACTTGTCTGGGAGGGGACAGCCGGCTCTGCTTGGAAACACACCCCTGTTGCCTTTGCCTAAACCCTCATAAAGTTTCCACAGCAGTAGTGAAAGGTGAAGAGTTGAACTCTGGGCTCTGAATAGACACAAAGGACCTCTCCTAGGCTACCATCAGCAGGAGGTGAGCGAAGAATGGGCAGCCAGAGTTCAAGGGTGTAGTAGCTTGAAAAGATATGATAGAAACTTTGAGGAAGTCATTGAAAGGCAGTGTCGTGTGTCTGTGTGAAGTCCATTGTGAGCTTTTCTAGGAACGGTGGTTGCCCTCAGACCCGTGCAGGGCTTGGTAGGACATCAAACGACGTCTGGTCCAGTGTCTGTCCACAGAGCTTCGTGGATATGCAACTGCTCAGGTGACCAGGTGAGTGGTCCTGTGGTTTTGTTTCTATATGTTCTGTACTTTCATGAATAGTTACAGCCTTTTTTCTCCCAGGAGCAGCTTTCCACTGTCTGTGCACTATAAAGGTTGATTCCAGGGAATTAAGGTCTACAACAGAAGGTTTAAGCAGGAAGGCAGAAGGAATACCGAGGTGGGCAGCCAGTCACTCAGCTGCACCCTCTGTGCAGGACTGTCTGGCTGCTGTCAGAAGGGTGCAGTGCAATGGGTACAGTGCAGGGGGAGTGGCACCTGTGGTGCCTCATCTTGGCACCAGAAATCTAAGGGGACAGCAGAGATGGGGCATAAGTAATGATGCACATGTTAAAACAATTGTAAAAAATATGGCAGTTCTTTCCTTTTCAGATTATACTGAGCATTGTAAAACATGGCTTAGACAAACTAACCTATCCTGGTACCTGAAGTGGAAAATTTGCTGAAAACAGATCTGTGACTTAATGAACACTTGTTGGACAAATGAAGTTATACATGGAAATAATAATTTAAAAAATGTATTAGAATTCTTTTTTGACTAGTGTATGAATCCCCTTTAATGTCAAGAGACTGACTGGAAAATCAGTTACTCTTACTTTAAGGTTGAGAATTTGATCTGGATCAAATTTTGTGTTAACTAATTTGAAATAACTGAAAAGGAACTCTTTTTTTTTCTTACACAGCTCTAGTTCTAGCTGATATTTGGAAATAGCTGCAGGCAGCTGAGAGCTTCACTGGTTGATTCGGGGCTGTAAAACATGCCAACATGAGAGCAGTGCCAAGCAGTTGAATGGCTTTTTTGTTTGCTGAAACAGCCATGGTTACATGAATGGTTTTTTAATGTATTTGGTTTATTCTGAATCAGGA